GGCAGCCCTGAATAGAGCAATAACTCTGAAGATTGACGACGATAACTAAAGCCACATCCTAACCACAAAGAAAGGAGCGAGTACAACATTCGCTTCCCCAACCAAATCAAAGGAAGAATAATAGCCTAAACTGAAGAAATCACCTTGAGAAAACAGCGGCGGCAAGTACCCTTTATGTAACTGAATGAACTTGATGCCACTTCTCTGCCTTCCACAGATCTCAAAACTTTTATGTGTCCCTTCTATAATGAGAGGGTCATTCGCTAGCTCCATTGCACGGGCAGTGAATTACAAGACCTTTCAGTTGTATATCTTGACAGGCTTTTCAAAGGTGTGTCGGTTCTGCAATTATAATTGAAGATTAAACATGAATACTTTTTCTTTTTTTCTTTTTGGAGATTACACACACTGAATCCTTGTCTAATACTTGATGAAGGCTGTCAAACAGAGGCGGATTCCGAATATGATAGCTACGGGTGCCACTATATTAATGCAAATCGACCACTAGTGAAGGAGATTGAATTAGGATGTACATTCAGTCAACTCGATCCGCTTTAGATTAATTCGGTTCGTTTCGATCCATTTTGAATTAATTAAGATCTTTTATGCATAAATGAATATGGGATACGCCCCTTCAATCTACATGTAGCTGGTTAATATTATGTCTTTGATGCATCACTCTAAATATTTTCTGAAATTAATAAAATAACATCAGATGGATAAAAAGAGAATGATTAAAATTAGAGCTAAATAAAAATTGAAGATCGAGAAAAAAACCAAGGAAGCACAATTTAAATAAGCAATAAAAATGGGAGAAATTCAAAAATAGCCAGATTTACAAGTGGTCATTCAAAAATAGTCACAGTTTTAAAAGTCATCGAAATTTAGCCACTTTTCATGTAAAGATAAATCTGAACGAAAACACTGTTCAAAATCCGGAAAATACTCCAGCATAATATACTGGAACTCCAGTATATTATACTGGAGCCATCAAAGTATACCGGTCCAGCATAATATACTGGAAGTTCATACATATGTGCACCGAACTCCAGTATATTATGCTGGATTGGTTTCTGTTGCAGTAAAATAGTGGCTATTTTTCAATGACTTGGCAAACGCCGGCTATTTTTGAATGATCAATCCGAAAACTGACTAGCCCGTGCTATTTTAATAATAAAAATGGCATTGTACAAAAAAAAGTGAAAACAAAGATGAAGAAAAGAAAAGAAATTAAGAAAAGGAGCATAAAGAAAAGAAAGGAAAGGTAACAAAGGAACAACTAGGACCATCATAATCCAAAGAGTCGATCTTGAGTCTTGCATATGGAATTTTAGCACTTCAGCCGTGGCACCTACAGTCATTTTGTGACCAGGGGTGCCACTCGTTGTCTATGTAGGATTTTTTAGGAATATACTAGCATATATATAAGATTTTATCCGAGCGACCGGGTGGCGTGTCACCCCCAACCGCATACATAGATCCGCCCCTGCTGTCAACTGAATTCTTATCTCATAGTAAACCTAAATAGGCCCTGATCACTAAACCCTTTCTCTATATGACAAAATTCCTCTCCGAAAAGCTTGAACATGCATACATGAGCACTTCCATTTTAATGTCACCATATTGTTTCATAAACTATTCACCTTTCATATTCCTACTAGTATTCAAATATTCCGCAATCTAGGTCTAGTACAAATATGTATTTAATCTCTATACCTAAATCTCCACGAAATCCAGGGGAAAAGAAACTAGTTTCATTCTAGAAAAGAGAGTAACTTGTTAAAATGTTAAAAAGGAAAAGAAAAAAAACACGAGTAGCAGATTATGTTGCAATTCAACATTTTGGCTTTTTTTCACTTCTGGATTTTGCATTATAAGTGAATAACTACTGGTTTTCTTTTGGTTCCTCATTTTCCATCAAAGATGGAAGCATGTCACACATTGTCATTCATCTTTTTGCATTATTTACTCTTATTCACGTAATTAGGATGAAAAAGTTGGGATGGGGAGTTACTCATCTAAGAAAAAATGTTGGGACGGGGAGTTTCTGAATGAACTGATTTTGACTTTTGACAAGCATAGGTGCCTGTTAGACTCAACATCTGCAGAAATATTTTTATGAGATACCAACAACGAAGTTCCCATACAACGAACGCATTTTTCTCGAGTTAAAGATTTACCTCTCTTTAGCGAAGGCTAAATCTAAGGCACATGAGTTTGTTGTTTTTTTATTTATTTATTTTTTGGTTTTTTATTGTCCGTCTCCTAATCAGTTACTTAGGTGCCATTTATACTGCTGACATAGAAGTGCTCTCCAGTTATTAGAGATCACAAGTCAGCTTTAAGTAATAGAAAGTTTACCTGGCTAACTGAGTAAGCTCTCTTAGGTGTATTATCTGCATGCTCCAACCCAAGATACTGTTCCCAAGCACCATAAACATCTCTTCTCTGCACGCGGGAATATTTAAGCATTTTCGGTTTGGGCAGGAAGAAGAAACAATGAAAACAGAAACCTAATTGAACCCGTAAAAACTTGCGATCAATTTCTAGGGGAAGAAGGAAACCAAAAATGAACTTTAACCTGGAAACGACTGGATACAATGTCAGAGTCCTGAAGGTAATCTGGGCGCCCCAATGACAAAAATGCAAACTTCCACTAGTCACAAAAAGAGCACACAGTCAGTCATAAGACTCTTAACAGTTAACAGCAACGGCTAGAAGCACGAAGCATGGGTGTCAAGCATGTATACTTGACTGCAAAACATTTTGCTGCCTGAGCAATGTACCTTAGAGAACTCCTCATCTGGAACCTGCAATTTCTTTTGAATGCGCACTTTAATCTCAGCTAACGTTTCACCTTCATGGATAACCAGAAAGAAAGGTTCCCCGAAATTCTGCACTTGCTGTTGAAAACCAATCCAATTAGTAATATCTATTGCTAATGCAGCAGAATTCAGTATTGATACAGTAAACATAGACAACAACAACAACAACAACCCAGTAAAATCCCACTAATGGGGTCTGGGGAGAGTAGTGTGTACGCAGACCTTACCCCTACCCCAAAGGAGTAGAGAGGCTGTTTCCGAAAGACCCTCGGCTCAAAAAAACAAAAAGACAAAAGGGACAAAAAGGGACAAAAAGACAGTAAACATAGACGAAAAGTAAAATACCATTTGATTCTGTGGAGTCTCTTTCGTGAAATGGTAAACATGAATTAAACGATCATGGGGACCAAGATTTTTCTCTTCTTCTGGTATCTAGTAACAAACAACGCTATGGTTAGCAAGTAAAGAACGATTATAAGTGCTGAACAGTATCATCATTATATGCCCCAGAAGCTCTCAATTGCAATAAAGGTGGGTGTATGAGAAAAATTACAACATAAAAAGTTAATTTCCGAACTACTTTACTTTTGTGAACGCACGTTCAACAATTAAAGCTGACATGGGGGAAAGCACTGAATTGAGTTATAGGATGGGTCCTAGATTCCCTATATTGAAAGTTTGGGGGCTTGTGGAGTTGGAGGGAGGGAGAAACTTAATTTCTCTGCATAACTTTCCAAAACTCCCGCCATTTTAAGGAGGTTTTTTCTTCTTTTTTAAGAAAAAACAGATGAGGATACGAGGGAGAGAGAAAAGCAAGCATATAAAACCAAGAGAACTCACCTCCTCTGCCCGCAGTGTCCAGTACTGGTCATTTATATTCTCAATTTTTTCAGTGAGTGGAAAGATCTGCACATCAACAATAGCAAGGGTGAGATGCGCAGACACACACAAAGATTAAAGTTTAAACATTCTTTGAAAGATCACCTATGCTATTAAACGTGCAGAACTAAAATTTAAGCATAAAGTAGAATTAATACAGAAGGATTGTACTTGTCCCAGAATCCTAACCTTATAGATCTTGTGATAGAAGACTTCAAGTAATCTAAGTTCTGCATCTTGACGAGACAAGTCAACCTGTTTCAGCAGCAACAGTTAGTAATTATTTCACATGCAATAACTAGATGTCAGAATTGCCCCTAACCAATTGCATGCATAAAATGGATGGATGATAGATTTAATCTCATACTATAAGTAAATTTCTGAATGATTCTTTTCCACTTTCGTTTCTAGATGGGAACTAAGTCCATAGGCAGGTACAGTGTTGTAAAAAGCGAGCGCTTCGTCGCTTAAAGCGAGAAGCTAAGCGAGGCGAAGCATCCGGCGCTTCTCTTACCATCGAGCCAGCAGCAACAGAGGCAACCTAGGGTTCAAGTTTTCTACACTTTTCAACTTCAAGATCATCAAGTTTGGTCCCGGGTATGTGATTTCTCCTCAACCTCCTCCTTTTTCTTTCACTGTTTCAGTGTCCAAATAGCAGCGAAATGCTGGCGAAATATTTTTTTCCCCTTCAGTTCTTCCTTCTCATTCGTCTCCTCTTCTTCTTCTTCATTTTCTTGCACTGTTTCAGTGATAAAAATGCTGAAATGCTGCCCATTTTTTCGTTTCAGTTATACTGCCCTTTTTCGTAGTTGATGAAGAAGAAGAAGTTGAACAAGATGACGAGCAATATAATAATGATAGTGGAATATAAGAATTTGACAATCTTGTAGAAGAATAGGATGCTCATTTTGTGCTTTAATTGATGCTACACTTTAGTTTTTACATTGAAGTATTGAACATTTGCTTACAGTTACATGTGTTGTCTATGCAGTATTTATTTTAATATTTTTTTTTTTAAAATTCCGCTTCACTTCAAAAAAGCGAGCGCTTCGCTTCTCGCTTTAAGCAAAAAGGGGCTTGTCGCTTTTCCTCGCTTCACGCTCTTCACAACACTGGGCAGGTAGAACTCATGCAAAAGGAGGAGGTAGAGATGTCCTCTCGACCAAATAACCAACAAGAGACCATCTCTAGATTAGACTGAACATTGATCAAGCAATGGTTGCTAAACAAGATAATCAGAATACTCTCTCCCCCTAAAATTATCGCTTTTTCCAGTGGTCTAACAGATGAATGCAAACATTTGCAGTTTTATGACTAAATTATAGTTTGTAATCTTCATTCTCAAAAGTAATTTGAGCAGAGCCAATCCCACTCAAAGAGAAGGTCAAGTAGACCGTTCAGAAGAAATATCCCCCAATCAAACTGAGAAAGAAGGGGAATCAAAGCAGACAATAGTCTTGTATAGGATAGATATATATTTGAACAACTCATCGAGAGGAAAAAAAATTGAACACTGTAAAATCTTGAAAAGAATAGGAGATAGACAAGACTGTACTTTCTAAATGCGGTTTAAAAATAACCTGAATAGATTAAGGAGTCATCTTGTTCCCAGACAGGTTATACTCCGATTAACAAATAAATCACTGGATTATTGTTGGTTAATCATAATAAAATTTGGATACACGGTGTATAGTCAAAAATCATGTTTTATTTTTAAGTAAGATAAAAAAAAAAAAGGTTCTCCAATAATACTCTTGACCTGCTTACATACTTTATCAAATTAATATTTCAGTTATTCTGATTGAAAAATTGTCTAATATAATTAAAAATCAAAATATATTTTAATTACCTATCTTTTAATCATCTCAAATAAAGACCACCATAGGACGAACTTTAAGATGAGGGGATACTAAATCATAGTATAAATGATTAAATAAATATAACTAAAACATTACTCTTCTAAAAGTGATCCTTTTTGCTAAGGTACTCTTGTAAAATTGATTAAAAATTATTAGCTAAATATAATTTAAGAATAAATACAAAATTTACTATCATTAATGTTAATTATCTCAAATATAAAACATTTTCAGCAATTTTAAGGTAAGATATGCTAAAATATGAGATAAATAAAATCAATATTATTCATCTAGTAAAGATTAAAATTGTATTTAAACATCTTATAATAATTTGAATCAATACTGCAAACAAATAAGACATAACAACAGATGGAACTAAACAAGTAATAATATTGAGACATCTTTTGTTATTAACACATACTCTTATGCAGGCAATATTGTTATTCCATGTTACAGGAATTACCACATAGCAAAAATGAGTATTATTAATACGGAAAACCAAAAATGATAATCGACTACCTGATTACTGATCAGAATTTAATAATAGGATTATTCTGATTAAACGGGTATCCAACAACCTTGGAAGAGCATTTGCAGCAGAATCAAAAAGGATTACATGCTGATACTGTCAGTTTCAAAGATTCTCAATATTACGGACAATAATTTCTTTTACCACAGAGAAATCCTCGTTTCAGCATCAAGACTCTGAGATAATGGGTATCCCTCCTCTACCCTTCTCCACCTAAAATACCATTCCTCTACCCTTCTCCACCTAAAATACCATACTTAAAGCAACAGCCAGGTTTTTACCTCGTGATGTGCGACTACCACACACCCCGTGCTCTACTGCCTTGGCCATTGAACCAAAGCCCTGGGGCAACATCACAAAAAGTAACTATTTCTTAAAAATATTCCTCTTCTTAATCGTAGTGTCTTCTCTATAACTATTACAATAACAACAACAACAACAAAAAATCCAGTGATTTTCCACAAGTGGGGTCTGGAGAGGGTAAGATGTACACAGCCTTATCCCTACCCTGGAAGAAGAGAGGTGGTTTCAGATAGACCCACGGCTGGAAAAAGGATAAAAAGAAAAGTAATGGCAACAAGTAGGAACAACAACAAGAAGATAAAAAAGACCGAAGACAAAAAAGCAGTTAAACTCTAGGTAGTAATAGCAATCTATTAATAAAAGGATATCATATTAACACTAACGCTAGCGAACCGAGTAAGACAAAGAGAAACGCTCGAAAACCTACTAACCTTCTACCCTAATTTTCGACCTCCATACCCTCCTATCTAGGGCCATGTCCTCAGTCAGCTCCAGTTACGCTATGTCCCGCCTAATCACCTATCCCCAAGACTTCTTAGGCCTACCTCTATCCCTCCTGATACCCACCAGGGCTAACCTCTCACACCTTCTAGCTGGGGCTTCTATACTTCTCCTCTTAACATACCCGAACCATCTCAATCTCGCCTCCCGCATCTTATCCTCCACTGGGGCCAATCCCACCTTATCCCGAATAACTTCATTCCTAATCTTATCTAACCTGGTATGCCCACACATCCACCTTAACATCCTCATCTCAACTACTGTCATCTCCTGAACATGAGAGTTCTTGACAGGCCAACACTCTGCTCCATACAACATAGTCAGTCTAACTACTACCTTGTAGAACTTACCTTTAAGTTTCAGCGGCACATTCTTATCACACAAGACACCAGAAGCGAGCCTCCACTTCATCCATCCTGCTCCGATACGGTGCGTGATATCCTCATCAATCTCCCCGTTACCTTGTATTATAGATCCAAGGCAGTGTTTTGGAGAGCGAGAAGCGGAAAAAAGCGAGGAGGCCTCGCTTCACCGAAGCGAGAAACGTGAAGCGAAGCGCGCGCTTTTTTCATGTGAAGCGCAATTTATACATAAATAAAAAAATATTAAATAAGCAAAGATAAATGGCCAAGAACTCAATAAAAATAACATATTAAGCAAATGTTTCAATTCTTAAATTAAGAAGTAAATAATAGATACTAAAACTAGGTAGTCACTAATCCTCAAAAGTCATAACATATTAAGCAAATGCAAAACCAAATCACAAAAGGAGCAACATCCTATTCTTCAACAACCAAAAAAAACACCAGAATTGCTAAAACAGGGCAGAACAGGGAACAACAGAAAAACAGAGCAGAAGCATAGTGAACAGCAGAAATTTAAAAAAAAAATAGAGCACTCGCTTTTAATAGAAAACAGGGCAGAACAGGGAACAACAGAAAAACAGAGCAGAAGCATAGTGAACAGCAGAAATTTAAAAAAAAAATAGAGCACTCGCTTTTAATAGAAAACAGGGCAGAACAAAGAACTGAAAAAATTAGAAAAGAGAAGAGAAAGAGAAGAAAAGAGGAGAGGAGTCGAACAGTGAACAGCCGAAAGTTAAAAAAAAGACAGAGCTGAACCCTAAAATAGAAAACAAGGCAGGATAGAAAAGAAGAACTGAAAAAAATAGAAAGGAAGAAGAGAAAGAGAAGAAGGGAAAAGATGAGAGGAGTCGAACAGTAGCAAAGAAAATCAGAAGAGGAAGAGAAGAGAAGAAAGAGAAGGAGAAGGAGAAGGAGAAGAAGAGAAACTTACCTGAGAGGAGACAAGAACTCGAAGGCTTGCAGCAGTTGAGAGAAGAAGAGAGTCGTCGCAGTAGAGAAGCAGATGTGTTGGAAGAAATGTCTCAAGTGTATTTGCAATTTATTTTTTTTAAACCCTAGGCAGCCACTGGATCTCGCTTAAGCGAGCTTTTCTTTCTTTTTTCCATCGCCTCGCTTCTCGCTTTTTTGCCTGAAGCGTGCGCTTATTTACAGATGCTGCGCTTCAGGGCAGAAAAACGTAGACCCCTCGCCTCGCCTCTGCGCTTTAAGCGAGAAGCGCTCGCTTTTAATAACACTGATCCAAGGTACTTGAAACTGTCTCTCCTGGGGATGACTTGTGTATCAAGCCTCATACCCATGTCCGCTTCCTAGGTAACTTCGCTGAACTTGCACTCCAAATACTTCGTCTTGGTCCTGCAAGACACCAGAAGCGAGCCTCCACTTCATCCATCCTGCTCCGATACGGTGCGTGATATCCTCATCAATCTCCCCGTTACCTTGTATTATAGATCCAAGGTACTTGAAACTGTCTCTCCTGGGGATGACTTGTGTATCAAGCCTCATACCCATGTCCGCTTCCTGGGTAACTTCGCTGAACTTGCACTCCAAATACTTCGTCTTGGTCCTGCTCAGCTTGAAACCTTTAGACTTAAGAGTCTGTCTCCGAAACTCCAGTCTGTCGTCAACACCTCCTCTTGTCTCGTCAATCAGAACTATATCATCCGCAAATAACATACACCACAACACCTCCCCTTGAATGTGCCGCGTTAATGCGTCCATCGCCAAACAAAACAAAAACGAGCAAGGGTTAATCCCTGATGCAACTCCATCACACCCAGGAAATGTTCTGAGTCTTCTCCCGCTGTCCTCACCCGTATCTTAGCTCCATTATACATGTCCTTAATCACTCTAATGTAGGCTATAGGCACACCTTTAGCCTCTAAACACCTCCATAGAACCTATCTCGGGACTTTGTCGTATGCTTTCTCTAGGTCAATGAACACCATATGCAAGTCCTTCTTCATTGTCCTATACTGCTCCATCAGTCTCCTCACCAAGTGAATGGCTTTCATAGTCGAACGACCCGGCATGAAACCGAATTGGTTCTCGAAAATAAACACACTCCTCCTCACGGCCCTTTCACCACTCACTCACAACTTCCATCGTATGACTTAGCAGCTTAATACCCCTATAGTTATTGCAATTCTGGATATCACCCTTGTTCTTGTAGTACTCCACCTCCATTCTTCAGGCATCCTCTTTGTCCTAAAAATGACGTTGAACCTAGAGAGTCATTTCAAGCCTGCCTTACCGCGCTCTTCCAGAATTCTACCGGGTTCTCATCTGGCCTGGTCGCTCTACCCCTACTCATCTTACGCATCGCCCCCTTGACTTCCCCCACACTTATGCGCCTAACTTCCCATCATTCAAGAGTTTATGGAAGTATGACTGCCACCTCCGCCTAATCTATGCCTCCTCCATCAGCACTCTACGCTCCTCGTCTTTTATGCACTTCTCTATAACTTTTAAAATAAAAAATAACTTACCCCTGATCTGGCTGAAAAAGGAAAATCAGAAAAGCAAGGTTTCCTGGGACCTGTCATCGTATCTCCCCATTGACTAAGTGCATGGATAAAGAATCCAGCTTTAAACTCCTAAGTTATGGGTAAACCAGGAGGGTGATTAAGAAAAACATACCCCAACCAATGAGTTGAAAGAACATGGGGGAAAACAAATTAAAACGTCCTATTATATCACACATTTGGAACACGATTTCCAAGATCTAAAACATGGACACAGCGAGACAAGTAGCCAACAAATGTCTATTATCTTCTGAAATGTAATTGGTGACAGATACAAACCCTCCCACCTGACAACAAGATTTTACCAAGGGATGGCACTCTTCTGTGAAAGATTTTTTTTTAACTGAGGAGGAAACTGCTAATCCCTTTCATATATTCAATGCAGAATTCAAGATAGTAAAACCCCGGTACTTACCTTTGATTTGATTTCATTAAGCACATCACCCACAGTACTCTGCTTAGGCAATCTTATGTTCAGAATTTCAATCTGAAAGCAATGTAAAACTCAATTAGAGAAAGCACTAATTAAAGAAGAAAGAACAAACTTGATCATCTCAGACGCACCTCATCCTTTGTGGAATGATGAAAGGCGACCTTGAGTGTCTTCAGACATTGCAGCTCTGGCAGAGGGATGTCCAGAACTTCATAATACAGAATATCAGAGATCTGTAAATAAAAATAACAAATCAGAAAGAACAAGAAAAGAAAATCTGAACAGAGTAAGTCCATAGCCACATGCATCATTGAAACAAAATACTGTGCTACTTTGTCATGTTAATTAAAGCATACAAAAAGCACCTATACACTTCCCTATTGAAGTCAATCCATGTCTACGAACCTGATTGTAGTGGATAAGCATGTCAACCAGATGATCGACAGACCGATACTTAATGGGGTTGGGCTTTGGTTGCTGTGAGTAGCAGTTATGAGGAGTCAGCCTAATTTTTGAAGGATCATCCACTCCAAGACGCTGAGCTACTTTGTCCACTACTACATCATATGTGTTGCTTTTTGCTCTGAAATTCATGAAAGATGGATGAATCATTAGAAGCAAGTGCTTTGTACTACTGCCGGCAAGCCATGAAAACATCAAATATACTCACAACTCCAGACAGAAATCAACTTCCTTTGGTTTCTCCAGAGCTCTAAAATGGACAATCTGTAATCAATTTTTTTCAAATATAAGCAATCAAAATTGATGTCCACAATGGAGACACTATAAAGAACCTGCTGCACCATACACAGGCATCCAGAGAAAATTAGCGTTGAACATTAGTATTCCCCTCCTCAACACACAGGCACCCGTAACCAAAGCATAAATGGAAGAAGATATATCCAACTAAAATAGAAAGGTACAGTCGCGAGAACGGGAGCCATAATCGAAAGTTGCGATTCACCTGGCGATTTTTCACATATTCCAAAAATGANTCATGACATCAATAACAGAAAGAAGGCAGCATTAACACACCTCAAAAAGCTCAATTTCTTGGTCGGGAGAAAATCCAGCCAATTCATTCAGCTTTCCAAGTATATCAGTTGCCTTACTGGAACTCTTCACAAACAGCCTACCAATATAACTGGAATTCCAAATTTGAAAAGAAACTGAGCTGCTAAACCTCCACAAGAAAATATGTAGCATGTATTCTCTAATAAAAACACACTTACCGTAGTTCTTCTTTCTCAGGATCATAAAGTTTGAAGAAAAGGAGTATATCATCTTTACTTTTTTCAAGTAGAGGAATAGGAAGCAGATCCTGATATTTTTCCATGTACGTCGTCAGAAATAGCAGACTCAAAAAATACCTGTCAACAGCGAGAACTAAAACTAAGCAATTGGAAATATAATCTTTAGGATATCTAAGCAGATACCAGCCCATGGTTCACTTCCAAAAATAACTTCAGTTCCGCAGTGTTGGTTTTGTTAGAAACTTCTCTTAACTGCCCAACCTGCACGTGCAAACGGTTCTCTTATATGATAATATTCACAGATTAATGAAAAGATAAAGGCAAATTCTTAATGCACTGGAGCATCAAGCTCAAAAAGGCAAATGGTGAGGGTTGTCATAAAAGCATTGAAGAACAATTAAGCAAACAATTGGTAAGGAAAATAGAACCATTAACAAGAATATAGTTCAACAATGCAATTATCGATATGTTTGTATAAAGTAAGAATCACTAGGTGATAAACAAGGATATACTGAAATTCGTTCTACACAACACAAGTGAAAATATTATTTGCATGATCCAGACAATTTAAAGATCATCAGAAATATGAATAAGCATTAATTTACATGATCAAGATAAACTCTGTATTTCATAGAATTATACTATTAAAAAACTTAATTATATACTTGAAAAATATTTTATTACCTAGTACCTACCATTCTCATTGTGTCTGCTTTGTTTGACCTAGTGACTAGTCAGATAGTCAAAAATATATTACCTCCAAACCATAAAGTTTTTGAAATATTTTCTACTCCCTCCGATTCAATTTAAGTGTCTTAGTTTGATTAGGCACGAAGTTCAAGAAAATAAAGGAGACTTTTGAATCTTGTGGTCTAAACTAAAGGTGTGTAATGTACCAAAATGCCCTTTAATTCTTGTGGTCTTAAACAAGTCATGTAGAATATTGAAATAGAGAGTTACCAAATATGGAAAGAGGCATTCTTTTTGAAATAGACTAAAAAGGAAAGTAAGACACTAAGAGTATTAAAAGATAAAATTTGAAATTGAAAGTGATACTACTCATTTAGCTTTTAAATCCACAAGTTTAGTCAAACAAAAATCTTAGTCACTGTTTAACAATATAATGGAATTGATTAATTAGAAATAGAGGAAGCAAGTGATTGACATTAAAGAAAATCCTTCGAATTAAAAGTATCAGACAGAATTAGCAAACATTCCTGTATTCTGACTAACAACATAATCAGACTCACTTGATACTCTGATTATAATGTACAGTTCGCATGTTTAGGACTGCCCGGTGCAATTTACTTTTCAAAGATTTTGATTAGGTTGTTAGAAGAAAATAAGTAACCAAAACTAGCTATGAAACCACTGCGGGAGGATCAAACTTTTGTAAAGGATCAATACATATTACTAGTTAGTCTAAAACATATATTGGGAAAACAACGCTCACACCTCCAATAAATTCTCAACTAGTTGAGAGTATTGGATTATAGTTACGCCAAGGAGTTATGAAAGTACATCCTTAAATAACTCAAGAAAGCTGAATGGGCAAGCCTGCAGAAAATAGTATTCCAATAACTACTTCATGATTAGTTGGACAAGGATGCACCCAAGGGTGTGGCCTAGTGCAGTGTTATCAAAGGCGCGCTTATGAAGCGAGGCTCAAAACATGTTAAGCGCTTCGCCTCGCTTAGGGGACGCTTCAATGTTGTCATCAAGGCTCTAAGGTATACTTTTCCTTGCCAATGAGAGTAATCCTGAAGAGGCGACACTAAACAATTGATTTCACTTTATAATAATTTTTCTTATATTTGGTATTCATGCTTATAGATATTAGTTTTGGACTACACATTTGTGTCTATCATCATTAAAGCCCACGCTTTATTTGCGCTTTGCGCTTAACGCTCCAATAGACATTATAGCTTTTTTGCGCTTTCCGCTTTTGATGATACTGGCCTAGTGGTCAATGAAGTGGGCTGAGAACCTGGTCAAATCCAAGCGGAGTCAAAAACACTAGGTGATTAATTCTCATATGTCCAACCCTTGGTGGATAGAGTTACTTGGTACCTGTTGCTAGTGGAAGGTAGCAGGAATCCCGTGGAATTAGTCGAGGTGCACGCAAGCTGCCCGAACACCACAGTTATCGAAAAAAATTATTTGCACAAGGATATAAAACAAATAGAATAACCTTAGAGAACTTTGCAGAAAATTGAATATTAACATCAAAGAGCCGCCCTAACAATTCTTCCACAATTTCGATTTCCTAATATCATAAGCGGATCCAGGATTTGAACTTTCAGTTTATATTCGAAATTCTACTACATCCAATCTAATTTATTGGGTTCAAAGTCTATTATTTGTACTTATTTAGTAGGTCTTTTAACATATATATGGTATCTAGGCCAAAGCTATTGGGCTCAGATGAAAACATAGCTCCTCCACTAGATCTACCCCTGCCTATTATTTCGTTTAATATTTCTCATTCTACCGAAGTGACATGCATGAAAATGCTAGTGCAGCTCTACGAGAAAGAGACTCAAAACATTTTTCTTCGTCACCGCAGGGAAGAAAGCACAATCCAGTAAATATTGGTTTAGTGAACCCCTTCCTTTTTATGGATGGAGGAAGGAACAATGTTTATATCTCAGAGGAATTTTACTGACTTTTGAAGCAGTTTCTGGGTTGAAAATTAATCTGGGGAAGAGCAATATTTATAGCTTTAATGCTGATGACAATATAGAAGAACTAGAAAATATTCTAGGGTGCCAGATGGATAAACTCCCTACAGTTTATCTAAGATTCCCCCTCGGTGTGAGAAGAAATGACCAAAGTATTGGGCAAGGGATTTTGGATACACATGCTAAGAAAATGACTCCATGGAAGAAGCAGTATCTATCATTAGGAGGCAGACTAACTCTGATAAATATATTGTGGATGGGAAGCCTTGCTACTTAATGTCTTTATTTCCTATGCCTACTGCAATTGAAAAGAAGTTGAACTCCACGAGGAATAAGTTTCTATGGGATGGAAATAATGAAAATAAAAAGATTCACTTAATCAAATGGCAGACAGTTCTCAGTGATCAGG